AGAGAAGTGAGGCAAAAGACCCCAAGGAATTGCATGTTTTGTTCAACTTCATTAATGCTAATAAACAAGGCTGTGCCAAAGCCTTTAACGACAATGGCCCCTGGCATGGGCTGCCCTGTGCCAGCTCTTTGGACACTCTGCATGGCTCTGTGGTGTAAGAGGACTTGATGGAAAGAAAGTACTGAGAGGGGGGAGGGAAGAATGCCAGGAGAGAATGTGGCCGAATGTGACAAGGATGGATCCTGACCTGCAGGAGAGGTATAGGCTTAGGAAACAGAAAATGAGGAAAAGGATGACAGTGAGAAAAAGGGGGTCATGCTTGTTAACAGATTTTGACAACCTTTTCCTTGTATGTCAGGAGGTGCATATCAAAAGGACAAAACAGCACTGCCTTGCTTGTGTAGCAAGCTGAAGTAAAGGCAAAAAAAACACTGAAATGATGAAAAACACCTTCCCTGAATTGTCTATTCTGCTTATGTTCCTTTTTAGATGATTGGAGATATGGGTGGGTCATACTCTTTGCTTGACTGGTCCCAAACTTGTTAGTCCCAAGGAGCCCTAACCAGTGCCTCTAGGTGAAACTTGTCTTTGGGCTGACCTCAAAAGGATCAGCATCCACAAAGGGCAGGAGCATCAGATGAAACAGTAGTAACATTGCCCTCAGTTTACACCTTCCCTGCAGCCCCAGGATGAGACATGGATGTGAGTTTCTGGAAGCAGAGTGGCTAGTCTCCCACCTAGGTAATCCTTGACTTTGTTTACTGTCTGAGGAAAAGTAACATTATAACTTTCTGTCATGTTTATGCTGTCATTCTTGTCACAGCCACTGCCAAGAGCAAAAGAAAACGCCAGCCTCTCTTGAAGTGAGTTATTTGCAAGGATTGCTTCGATAATATTATATTGAATGGATTTTAGGTTGAAAAGGAAAACATTTATGTAACCTTTCTACAGAAATTTCATTCAGGAATCTCAGACTGAATTGGAAATATCATTAGAGAACAGCTTGCAATGCCTAGGAACTGCTGTTTGCAAATATTAGGCCACAGTTTTATAGTTTGGTGAAGTAAAACACAGGAAGAATGTCTTACCAAAGTCCTACTGGGTTACATCCTGCAAAGTCCCATGTGCCTTTAGTCCCTTAAATGGCAGTACCAGATAATGAGACCTTGCTCTGCTGAGATATTCTGCACCTCACACACCTGGGCCCTCACTGGGCAGCGTTTTCTACTGAACTTGGTCTGTTACGAACTGATCTGACACCTCAGAGCAGATCCAGTGAAGACCCCAAGACTGTTAATTCTGTGGGGCAGCAAATAACTCTGGCCCATGTTGTGCCAGTGGCCCTTGACGCTGGCACAGCAGAAAGCAAACAATATATCAAATAATAATTGGGTGAACAGAGATGAGGTTTCACTGAACTGCAAATGCCAAATTTGCAAGTCAAACTTTTCAAGTCAAGTTACTTAGATTAAAAAACTAAAGCCAGGCAATAACAGTAACGAAGTCCCTGCAAGTGCAAGGCAGAGTACACAGGCAGCCTTAATTCTGGCAGCTCCTAACTTTGGAACACTTCAACCTGACATTTGCAAACCATCCATTTAAAGTATATTTGTTTGGTCAAAAATATACAGTTTCTTCTGACATTCACTTTCCAGAGGATTAATTTTAATGGAAATTCTGTGATGTTCTTCTGCACTTGTCCTTTTCCCTGCAGAGGTGGCAGGATGCTGCTACCTGAATGACAGGAATAACTATGGATGTTTAGGTCCATAATTTCTCTTGCAGTGCAGAGCTTCTGTTCATTTCAGTATGTGATAGAAACCTATATAAAAGTGAAATGTTTCATTTGTTTTCTGTTGGTTTTTGGTTTTTGTTTTTGTTTTTTTTTTAATTTGGACTGAATGACCTACACCATAATTATTTGCTGTAGTCCTGCTGTGAGGGAATGGTCTGTTGGGATCAAGTACATTTCTGACATACTGGGGGAAGAGTGTGCTTTCAGATTGACTTTTCTCTTCTTTATCCTTGAAGGTGAAAAGCTTCAGCCTAAAGTTAGGCATGAGGACAGTGGTGGAAAATCCTGTTTGCTCTGACTCCCACTCAGTTAGCTGGCTCAGGAAAAACAGTTTCAGGGTTTCCTCATTTAGGAACTGAACAGGGCCAAGATGGTTTATTTGTACTTTTCTTTCTTTCTTTTTTTTTAAAGTAAGGTTTAAATCACCTCTATGTGAAATCAGAATATGGGACAGTTCTACCTTGCTTTTCTCGGCTGGGACAAATAAGACCTGCAGTTTCTTTTGCAAGTTTGACACCAGCAGAGCTGTCACCACTGGCTGTATTTCAGATAGGAGATAGAGGGTCAAATAATTGAGCTTTAGATTTGTTCTAGCCCTAGTTAGATGTTCATGTCTGCCTTTTGTGTTTGGATTCACGATACAATTTCAAAGGGGTGTTATGTACGTGACATAATTATAGTTTCCCATGCCTAATCATCACTAATTAATATAACCAGAAGGTTAACTACATAATTGAGATATTATTGCTCCCATGATTTGCTTTTTAATGCACAGGAACCAGACTGATATCATCAGGGAGATAATGATTTAACTCAGCTGAGGATCTGACTGTATATTTTTAAATGCAGGTGTATCAATTATGTGATTTTACATTGTAATTATTTTTGGTCAGTCCATGAAGTACCTCATTATGAAGATTAGTGGAAATCTTATGTGAAAAAAGTACCTATAATATAATTATAGTGTAATTATGCTTTTTATACTATAAAGTCTTTGTGTTTCTTAGAAGACTGGATTCACAGTGGATGTGAGAAATACTTCCTGTCATTTGTAAATCCAGACCATGAGGACCTTAAGATGTTCATAGGAACAGCTATTTATCATTGAGTCTTTAGAGAACACTAAACTCAGTGGATATTGCACATTGCAATATTGCTACTACTATTATCAATAACAATACAGATAGTAGGGGTGTAGTAAAGAGATACAAAAACTAATACAGGTCATAGTAACCCCATGCCTGATGTAAGAGTGCAAGATGGATGGCAGAGATTGCACTTACAGTGCAGACATTTTTGTTAGAATTTCCCATTATTCCTTCGCCTGAGTTATTGAAATGGAAGGATGAATCAAGGCAAAAGCAGACAAGACTCCAGGTAGTTATCAGCATTTCAGATAGAAGCTGTCTAACCTCTTTCAGATGGCAGTTGTTAAAATAATGACTTGTGATCACCTTTCAGTAAATTTGAGATGCCACGGTATTACCATTAGTGGTAAAGTTGTGGAAAATTGCAGAAAACCAATTCCTAGTGCAGATAAGGAAATTTTTTCAAACCTTTGAAGACAAATGTGAGTGGCAAAGTACATGCCATTACTAGTTTACCTGTACATAAAGTATCACAGTATTTCTAACCTTTGCCTTAAGCAATGGACTTTCTGATTACAACTGTGACTTAGAAATATTTCAAGAGTGACTCTGACTTTGGTTTTGTCCTTGTGATGCAGCAGTAAAGCAAATCCCATATGAATCTCATGTTATATGATCATCTTCTATGTGTACAAGGAGCAAGAGAAGGACCCTTTAGAGCAAAGAGACCTACTGACATAAACCCTCACCACTCTATGCCTTAGAAATGCAGTGAATCTGTCATTTCAGATGTTCTAGCA